TCGCCTATGTCAAAGTTTTATTAGAACAGTGTTGACAGAAGGGATTTAATGTCAATTCGTGGTGGGCAAATGATGAAAAAAAATCTAACGACTGGATTTTTTTTTAAATAAACAAAAACCATGTTTTAAGCTTTGTTTTTAACCAGCCCCGTTGCCATGGCAACAGCACACACCTTAACCAAAATGCGAGAATAAACCGTTCTGTGGTTAACCTTGACTCTTACAAAAAACGGGCGCCAAAGCATTAATAGTTTAAAAGTAATGGTGAATTAGGCATAGGCACTTGCAAACTGTGTTCATCCACCTTAAGTTTTGATCCCGCAGGTTATGATAGTCCAATACAAGACAAATACAAAGACTAAAATTGTTTCATTTTTTCTGAACCGATTAGCAATTACAAATGTTTACAACAATGAAGGTGGTAATGAATACAGGAAAGGAAAGTACGTCAATGCCATTGATTTTTACACTGAAGGAATCAGCGTCGGCTGTCAGGATAAAAACCTCAACGCCATATTGTTCACAAACAGGGCGACAGTCCAATTGCAATTGCGTAAGAATTTCCTTTTTTTGCTGATTCTTTATTTTCCGAGTGTAAAGGTTTTTTTTAATTTCTAAATGTTTTGAAGACGTTTGAAAAAAATAATTTCACTGACAGGAAATTATCATGAGGCTCTTAGTGATGTAGAGGCTGCGAGGAAATTTCAGCCAACCCACCCTGAGGAAAGAAAAAGAGGTAATGTTCGGTATCTTGAAGCTTTTAATGCTGTTGAATTGGTCCAGACCTAGCAGCGCACAATAAACGTAAATTAGGACGGGCAACTGATTTTGAACGGAAAATGTTTATAAAATGAATGGCAAAATTATCATCTGGGACAATCAGAATGTGCGGTTTCATAATTTTTCGTTTGGGCACAGATTGTCCGAATTGGGCACTGTGTTGTGTTCTGGGCACGACACTTTACCCTCACAGTGCCTCTCTCCACCCACGTGTATCAACGGGTACCGGCGAATTTAATGCTGGGGGTAACCCTGCGATGGACTAGCATCCCATCCTTAAGCTTGCCGCTTCATGCTACAGAAACCGGAGATAAGTGCCGACCTGATGGGCCACTTGGCTCGTACGCAAACTTTTCCTATTTAACACACTGCGCAGTTTTGGCTCATAAATGGAAACAAACAGAGAACGAAAAACAAACAAAGAGAGAAACACAGAAGGTACGGATATGCGTTCTGTCTATCAAACCGTCTATAGCCTGGCGGGGGCACAAACTTTTCTAACCTGAACAATATTCAAGCTATAGTAATCAAACTTTGTGACTTTTCCCAAAATTTTATCAGCTAACATTTTGCTGGGTCAACAGTTTGCTCACGTGACTTGAGGATTCTGTGGCAACAATGTTTTCAAAGGGCGTTTCGCCCCCAAAAAGTTGTTCTATTTCAAAATCTTAACAGTTCTTGAATTTTTATATTCTTTTTTTCCGATTTTGTGAATCAATTTGGAGGCTGTTCTGAGATTTATAGATAATTCTTTAAATCCAAGATGGAGGATCTAAGGCTTTTTGAAATACCGTAACAAAGAGCCCTCACCCCAAGCCCACGAACGAAAAAAAAGCCCAGGCAAAATAGGGTTAATGTTGATAAACCTCAATACATGTGCATTGACCAAAATCGGAGATAAAATGTGTCATTTTATTTCTTAGCTGCAATTTTAGGATATTTCGCTTGTATAAAGCTGAATCTACTTGGACAAGCCATCGCGTGGTGCGACGAACGATTAGCTGTATCCTTTGAGTATACTTTTTCGTCCAAGAGTATATTTTCAGTTGAAGGAGTGCATATGAAGACAAAAACAGTCTTGTTATACCTCCCAACTCAAATACGTTTTCCGATTGGAGGAGAACGTGTCACTTTTCATGGGTTAAAACTCACTAGGGAGAAAAGACAACTTGAACTTTCGACTCGCACACGATCAGGTCGTGCACCGCGTGTGGACGCGCAGCAAATTTGTGTGCCAGCCAGCGTCAAGCAAATAGTTTGGCTTCGCCTCGGGGAACATTAGGGTCTCGGGAAACCAAAGCTTACTCTTTTCCTTGTGGCCAGTCATTAAGTGCTTATTAAACTGCAAGAGATCCAGAGAGAACTTGTTTTGCGGAGTCTTGTTGCTCTCTTAAGCTTACATATTGCTAAACATAATTTATGTTTATTACACTTGTGATAAGACCTGTTGCTAGTAAAGAAAAGTATAAAAAACATACTTAGTGTTCACCACAAGAAAAGAAAGAAAATTATGTAACAGTAACGTAATAAAAAACAAAAACAGATTGAATGAAAGATCGCAAAGGCGAAAACAGTAAATTATAGCTGCTTCTCTGTCTAACATTTTTGAAGGTTGAAATTATTGATGATCACCCTCTGTTAGTTTTGAAACGCCCATCGTTTATCAATTCCCTATGAAACTTCCTACTGATTTATTATCAGTTATTATTCAAGCCAAGTACGTGATTTCAAAATCAAAGCTTTCATAGAATCGTGATTTTCACACGTATCTAACAGTTCCCGAATTTTTCAGTGCCGCTGGAAAATAGTCTTTATTGTGGGCACCACGTTTCTCACAACGCCCTAGATTTTTCACGTATCATAGGCAATAAAATACGACGCGCAACTTGTTTTAGTCAAAGATTGCTAGTGAAGTTACACCGCTACCGGAGGGTCCACAATAGGATTGGCGGGATGCGGGATTTGCCTTTTTTTTCGCCGTGATATTCGGGATTTGAGCTGAAAACAGGGGCGGGAAGCGGGAATTACTATCAAGAGCGGGAGTGGGATTTTGTGTTTTTATGTTGTTGGGATGCGGGATTCGTGAGGTGAACAGAGCGGGATACGGGATTTCCATTCTTTCGTGACCTCATAAATTCATAATTGACCGGCGCAAAAACCGCAAGTTGGCAGAAACGAACCTTTTGTGCGTATAGCTGTGTCAGGTTTCAAGTGATAGATAGCAATGGCTCTGTGCCTTGTCAGGTTCTGTCAAAAGCATCCATTATCGCTTGACTACGTTAGTATCATGAGACTATTAGATGGTCTTTGAGTTCTATTGCGATCATTTGTGTTGGCTTCGGACATCAATGACATCTGTCCCTTTCCGACATTTTCGACGCTTGCGCCTGTAATCAAAACCCCCTGATCCTTTCTAGTTTTTCTAGTCTTTTGAGCTTTTCCAGAGCCCTTGGCTTGTTTTGGCCAGGACGGCCACACCGGATGGTGGCAATAGTTATTTATCGAACAAAGTATGCGACATTATAAATTGCATCGCCATATATTGCGAAAATGTGTGCAAGTGGGAATGCCTTCACTTGGAAAGAAAAGTTCTGAGCCCAGATTTCAAGGAAAGTGAAGATGCTGAAAGCTTTGAAAGAGACTGTCAGGTGTGTTTACGGGCCATGTCTTGAATATGGGAGTGAACAATTGTTTTCTTTCACTGATACTTGGACAAAAGAAAACAAAACAGTAAACCGTTTACAGAAAGAAACGTTACAATCATTTGTGCTTACTTATCTGCTATCCATTGAATCCTTTTGTGATCTTTTATGTGATATCTTTTTTTTAAAAACGTTTCTGTGTTAATTATTAATTTAACAAATTAATAATTAATACAGAAAAGTTTTTTAAAAGTGGGTGAGATCGGGATTTCAGGGCAAAAACGGGCGGGATGGCGTGATTAATAGGAAAAAATGGGCGGGAAAGCGGGATCTGAGATCCCTACTGTGGACCCTCCTACCCTGCTACGATCAGAGGATGCAAGTTACCGCTATTTTAAGTGTATTTCGCTGTCTCTCTGCTACCCTTTGGTGCAAGTCGCCAACCAAATTTACACCTACTTGAACGACTATTACACCTACTTGTACGACCACTACACCTGCTTGTACGACTACCACACCTGCTTGTACGACTACTACTCCTATTTGTATCTACTACTACTACTTACGATCTACTGGTTTTCGCTATTTCTTCAGTCGCTACGTATTGTGAACTAGATCTATGGGCTTGATCTGTCATTAGATCAGTTTGAATTTACCAAGTGGAGTTCGAATATCTCGCACCGCGCTACCCTGTAGTTGTTTAAGATTTGAGTAAGAAGCAACCTCTAGAATCTTTACAATTACACCCTCTTTATTGTTTTCATGCCCGGAGACACTTTTAACTTGTATTGGTTTACGTAATTACCTTGACTAAGGCAAGACTGACCAGGAGGACGCGGACTTGTTATTAATGAGGAATTTTGTTTTAAAGAGGATAAATGTCGCGCGACGTGTCACTGGAACTGCGCAAGAACATGAGGTATTTTAAACATTTATTTCAAAAATAATTTTTATGTCTTATTTAGAAAATAGAAAAGGAACACTATGTGCTTACCTAGGCTGATAGAAAAAAACGAGAGGTAGTTGAGGAAAATTCTAAGTTTACATGTATATAAACCCAATGGTGGATAGTACTTTCGTGTTCTCCCAAGCTCTCTCTCGTGTCAAGTCATGTAAGCACAAAGTGGTCAAAAATTGGAAATATTTGAATTCGCTCTAGTGCGACCCGGCCCATATTCAGCATCCTAAACCTCGTCAGTGTAAACAAGTACAGTTTGGCTTTACACAAGATATGACCACCCTGGTAGGAATAATTCTAGATTTATATCATCTGAGTCAACAAGACTGAGCTTACATTAAACATGTACTCAATCAACAAAGCCATGTAATCTTCAATGGTCTTCAATCCAGGATCATTGCAGTTGTCCTGACCTTCACCAAGACACTGATCTTGTGCACAAGATCAAAATGATAACAAGTGTTGTCTCATTGGTTATATTTTGCACGAGAAATCATACGGTCAGGGTAAACAAATATCAGCTGTTTTCAAACAAGATGCATTGAAGATAATGTGAGACAAAAACATTTCGTGGCTATTTTCCTGAACAGGGTAATCGGTCGCCAATTTTTTAGGAGAAGAGTGTCCCTTCTTTGAGAGAGCAACATTTCGCTACGCTGGTAGGCGTCGTTTGAATAGTCTTTTAAAGGGGTTACAACATATTCCCAAAAGCAAAAATAAAATTCCGCGGTAAGTCCTTCGGAACCTGGGTTTTGTTTTTCGAAATTGTTTGAGAGCGAATAAGGGTTCCTCTTCGATGATAAACCCTTGACAGATTTTCTGCTGTTCACCATCAAGGCTTTTTATATTATTGGAAGTTACAAAAGGCGATGCTGAAACATGAAATTTGCCCTCTGGTATTTGAGAGCATAGTTAATAGGGGAAATGGTTAGGAAGGCCGGTAAACATCAAAGAAGCAAACGAACAGGTTAAGATTTATGTTGGAAGGCCCTTGACCCTGCACATCTTATTCTATGCTCATTGACTATGCATAATTACATAATTGCAATGCTTCTACTGGTTAGTTGTACGAGCACACATGACCACCTTTCGTTTTTTGCCAGGATTTGTGCAGGGTCAACCCCCAAAATACCAAACAAAAACATACAACAAACAACTTTGTCAAGTTTTCTGACCATTTCCCTCAATTAACTATGTTGAGAGGAATACAAGGTCTTATAGAAGTTTTCCATTCGAGCAAGATCTTATTCAGATCTTCTTCTTCTTCTTCTCTTTAATTTAAAAATGTGTTTTCTTTCATACTCGCGCTTTTCCATGAGCGAACGGCACAGACTTTTCGAGTGTGGAAAACGACAAGCCGCACAGTTTTGTTCGCTTGGATTTTTCAACGACTTCGAGGTTTTAATTGCAAATACAGAAGCAAACAGAACACTGATATGTCGACATCGTGACTTTTTATAGACCACAACAGCAGGGACCTTATACAAACCACAACGGCAGCGAAAAAGTCGCAAAATAAAGGGTTTAATGAGTCAGTACAATGGTTCTGCACGCGTTATAAATCTTTGTACATTTCCTAGCCAAGCTATGCAAAACAAACAAGTACACCACAGGGGCATTATTTTTATAAAACGCTTTCTTCACGAATTTAGCTGTAGCTCGTGTTTATCGAAATATAAGTGGAAAGATTCTAAAGCATTTCAATTTTCAAATACGCGCCGCTGCCACCCTTGCGTGAGATGTCCAACTCGCTGTCATCGCGGCCAAAAGAACTAGCGCTGAATAGAAAATTGCGAATTTGCATAATTTCCGAAAAAGAGGACAACCTCGTGAGGTATACC